AGTCATACCTTATTGAAAGTCCACTTTAGGTCGAAATCCGTTATACCTGGTCTCTTCACCAATTATTTGTTCATTCTTTCCTTCCTTCCCTTACTTTGAAAGTGACCGTAGACTGTCTAACTCTATTGAATAAAGCGTGTGTATAAAGTAACCGCTCATTTAAGCCTCATGTACATCCGACTTTATCAATGTTTTACTTTCCAGATGGATGTTCATCTTTATACAAGTTTGCCATCTTTTAGAGCAATTTAAGGGCGGAGAGTTCAACCAAGCTCAAACCTTTAAAGTGCTAATTTGGGCTCGGTGGAGACATTACCCTTATCATTAATTAAAATATTCGCAGACACCTCGGATGAACACCAGGACAGACTTGCGAGCACTAAAGTCACAACAATGACAAACTCCCCGAACAAACTTGCCAGCGGCCCGTGAAAGGATTCAGCATGCAGGTTCCCGAATGCAGAGTGAACGTTCTGTTCTGTCTACAAGTAGACCTTAGCTACATCTTCGTATTCTTCCCATCGTCAGGCTAAAGGAACAAGTTCTTCCAACTTGCGGAAGTATTTTGACAGCGTCACTTGCATTACTGTGGAGGAATCTTTGTGCACGTTGGCTTTTATGGGGGTTCGCTGTAGTCTTCTGATTGAGTTGTTCTATACATATATATATATATATCTGCTTATTTTTGAGGGTTATCAACGCATGCTCCTCAGGACAGTTTGGCTGAAGTAAATCGTTTGGTTTACAGTTAAGTTTTGCGGCACGTCGGTAGCATCTTGTTATCAGATTTGACAACAGGCCGCAAACTGAGATCGTATTTTCGACAAAATCAAATAGCGTTTATGGAAAAATTAGACCTACTGAGTGAAGACTAAACTGAGTATGTCTCGAGTGGCGTTGGGGCGCTGACCGTGTTCATGGTATCCAATGGAATGAAAGGATTATAAACACAAGTGTTTTGTAACTCCTGAAGGCTGCTGCAGTCCTGACAGTCAGGGAATGCTTTTTAACGTCAGAAAATACGGTCTTTTAGCAGCGTCCATATCGACAATTGAAGCCCTGCTAAGCGGAACCGGTGGAGGCTTGCGACCTACCCTCGTCACAAGAGAGAACATGTTGCAAGATATTATGGACAGACATCCAGTAATTCCAAATATAGCTACTTCGAGGAAGCAAGGATGACCTCGAAGGTCTTGGATCTAGCGAGTGAGCGAGATGAATTTGCAAGGGCTGTGGTCGCGTTTGCACTGATCGTCTTTGATCGATTAGCGGTTTGTAAATGAGACACTAAAAACATCAATCAAGGAGAAATTAATTCTCTGAGTGTATCGGATGGGCAAATTTGTGGCTGAACAATAGATGTTGCTCATGCCAACCTACCAAAGAACAGGGCATATCAAGAAAAGACCAAGTGCGGAACATCATCTGATGGTGATGTGGTGCACGACTGGTTTAGCCGAAACGGACATCAGATGTAACTACTCAGTTATCCTAAGTATGATGTAAAAGTGAGCACTCTGAATACGACGCAAGCTGATTGCGTTTTCTTCACAGTGAATTGCTTCTAAAATCGTTCACAGTGATCAATTCTCAGAAGAAAGTCCTGGTTCGAGGGGCTCAACAAAATCCGTGATTCATGAGTGACATTTAAGTGGTTGGGATTTATAAAAAATACCCGGTTGTTTAACATCAGCGAGGTTTATCTTACTTTTCCTCTCTGTTTTGGAATATTTTTGTTACAACTGTAGTTAAACAATAACTTTATCCATGGAGCTGAAACGCCAATTTTTGTCGTAAATTCCCATTAGGCAAGCCGATGAATGATAATTTTCTCTGCAGCCTTGCTTTTTCTCGTGCTCCGCTGCCTTATGTTTGCCTACCCCAAAACTTCAGTATGCAAGAGGTATGTGATGAAAAAGTAATGGTGGCTGGCCAGTTATTATACTACACCACTGCAGTAAAAAGTGACCCAGTTGTAAGAAGGTGAATCTTTATCGTCGGATCTTCTGGTGGACTACTTTTAGCTTTCTACACCGCGCATAGACATACAAGTAGTGGTACATGGCTTAAACGACCGATCGAATGATTTGGTGAATTTTTTGGGCCGCTTGAGAAGTAATCTTTTATAATACCTATTCAGGGGATTTATACCTGAGCATCGTTTCAGCCTTGACAGGCAATCCAAGGGGTATAGTTACCAGCCTGGCCAATTTTCGGGCATACGGGAAGCCAATCATTAAGTGTAATTTTATCTATCAGGATCGAACTCAGTGCAAGGTGCTATTTAAATCTTTTTTTCTGTTAGTGTAGATGACTACCACGCACAACGGACATGGGAGTCTTTCGCTGGAGACCAAGATTCACACGGCAGTATCAAAAGGCCGAGGTGGTGTAAGTCCCTCAGGCATCCTTGCCCGAAGCACGTGGAGGGCGATTTTATATCAGTCTTGCTGACATAGGGCAATGTAAAGCTATCAGCGAAATGGTTTACTGGCATACCGTTGAACCACAAATTGTGAGTTGAATAAGTTTATCGTGATCCGCCTAACCACTGGACAAGTTGTTCTACCACTTAATAATCTGACACACCAACACACGGCTTATGGCGATGCTGAAGAGGAATACTTAAATAAAATTCTCTAAACTGGATAGACAAGAATTTTGCCCGATTTAACGAGATGGTGATTTCGCCTAACATATCCTTTATAAGTGCTTTTCACACTGGCCGGAGAGTACCTTTTACTAACGTTTAGAACTAAGCCTGCCAGGGTCGAGTGACCCCACTGGTTTTATGTCTGCCTTATGACTCGGCCAAACTGGACGACCAATACTCTGCCTGACCTGCCTTATGGGCCAAACTGGACGACCAATACTCTGCCTGACGAAGCATCTCCGTCAAGAGCGAAACACCCAACAGCAATAAGGCCAATCAATCATGCTAAGGTAATTAGGTAATGTTTGTTACAGTGGCAAAATGCACGCGATAACTGGTCTGAACTTTGAGTTATTAGCGAGTTTGGATGGACTCACTTTCATCACGTATTTGTGTATCGGGTAATACGTGCCTGAATTTTCCTACCTTTGCATCTGACGAACGTTTACTTATCTGCATTCGATTTTTGCCATCCTAGTGGCTAATAGTTTGGGAACTACACTCCGCTACAGCTGGATACTCTCGTGGCTGACTGTAAGCCGTCTTTCCTAATTTCTACCATTCGCAAGGGGAGGTTGGCAGCATAAACGGCTGGTGACCCTCAGTGTAATAAGCTTCATGTGACTAGGGTTTACGCAAAAATCCGACCGTATTCGTTTAATTTTATACGTTAAAACCTAATAGTGACCGTACAATTCACTTACAAGGATTTATCCTCTCACTAGTAACGATGGACTAGTCTCCGAAGAAATAACCAGAGCTACGTAATGCCTAGATTTTGTGAGGCTGCGTGCTGCAACTTGTTTACTGGAAAAATCAAGGCCATTCTACGCAAACATTGCTGAAGTTTTAGATCCCGTTATTACAATTTATCAACCAATTTTGTATGAGAGAGCCAGCACCATTACTAAGTTTGAGCCCGGGATGTTAGAAGCGAAAACATTAGGAAATTTGATCAAAATGAGGAAACTTTTGTTTTTGTTCGCTTTTTCAGTGTTACAATTTTATGTTTCAGGGCCAATGTTGCTTTCTTAGTTTAGTTCCTTTCGGGCCACACCATCTCGCAATATTTCTGTGCTTGTCAGCGATGTGCTTAATACAGAATCGAGTGTAAATAAAACTGGCTAACATGACAGAAGATTTCACTGCTCATGGAATATGAATTTGGAAACCTTATGATTTATGATTATTGATAAATCACGGCGACTTGAACTTTTAATGTGCGCCTTCCACGAAAAAATGACAAACTGACAACACAAAGAACCACGTTAGCAAAACCATGTTGTCTTTTAAGCAATCAAAATCATTTTTTTTGTTTTTGGAAAGTGAAAAAGGATTTACTCCGTAAAATTACCAATGGTAAGTGAAATATTTCATGTTGGAACTATATCTACAAGCAACTGACTGACTATGGTTATTTCCGTCTAATCATACACTTTTTCCCATAGTAGAATACGCAAAAAAAAAACATACAAATATACACAAATTGATAGATTTGCTTCTAATGTGAAGACGGTGACATCTTAAAAACGGATTCAGTAGAGAAATACCAAACAAGATTCAGCACTCAATCATGGAGTTACGTGGTGGCAAAATGGGGAATTTGGAAATTTCCGATTCGTTTGTTCCAATTAAGAAAGCATGGATCAGTTTCACTGTTTGAATTGTTCGCAAACGAGAGTTCAAAAAACACGAGTGTATTGGCCCTTCCGGCTATTTTGACCTGTGGTTCATATGTGGTCAGTCGGAAAGTCGTTTGGTGGATCAGCCTGCTAGAATGTCCTTGGGACTTTGAGTTCACTGGTGAACTAAGTTTGGGGTAAAATTACTTTAATCTTTCTTAACCGGAGATATTTCCTGGATGAGAAAAGCTTTTTGAAAACCGCATCTATTCCATGGCTCACACCGGTCAGTTGGCCGTGTGCTGACAGTGTGGTTAGAGTCTCGGAATTGCTGTTATACTCTCAACAGTCCATCATAGAAAAACAATGGAATAAACAAATGGGGCAATGTTTACAGAAATCTTAAAACTGCTAACGATATCAAACGGCAGGAAAAGATAGAAAAATGCTATACCTGGGCATTTGACCGATCCCCGAAATCTCGGGTCTGAAAATCAGAGGACAATCTTGGGTGTCAGCTACGCCTCTGGTTATTTACGTTGCATTACACTATAAACTTGTGCTTAGTCAACAAGTTTCAAGAAACAATCGCGAACATATTGTCATTTTTACCGTTCAATAAAGCCTGTTAGGTTGGGTTCGAAAATTGGTGCTTTTTGTTGGAAATGATGCAGTTGAATCAAGCAAATCAGGCCAATTGTGGCGTAAATATTGTACAAAATTACCTTTACACGGATCAACACCTGGATCAAGTGGACCTGAAAATAAATCAAAATTATACTGTTAGATAAAATGTAAATTTCACCCCTTTGACAGTGTGTAGCTATTTAGAACTCTCAATGCAGATCTCTTTCTGTAAGTGAGACCAATATATGCTGAAAAGCTGAAAAGCGCTTAACAGTTGTTTCACACATTTCGGAGATCGTAGCAGTGCGGAGAAAAACTAGTGACAGCTGACTGCGTTTTTGATCTGCGGCTCACGGTAGAACGTTAAATTGTTCCTACTATTGCGAGGGATCTCTGGTTCGAGAGTTCGTTGTTTTTCCTTCAGAAGCCCCGATGTTTTTCATCCTTGACGATTGCAAATCAGTGGGATACTGGTGTAATGATGTATACTACTGATGTAGCAGTTAAGTAATCTACCTTTTGATGTTTGCATTGTCCGAAGTCAAATAACTTTCAGGAAATTTCAAGAGACCGGCTGGGAGGGGTCCTTTTGAAGGGGCTCTGTGCACATTCG